ACTGGGTGAGTAGGGACAGTAGGGCACAGGGATCATGCTGATTTTGGTCAAAAACTGCTGAACACTCAGCGTGGTGTGGGCAGGTGCACTTGTAAATCACCCATTGTGAGATGGGCAAGCACATTGAAAGAATCTCAAAAAAATTCACTGGAGCCAAACGCAGTCGCTCACAATGCTAGATGGTACACTGATGCCAGTGGGTTTCTAGAACACTTACCTAGTGAGGGATGCCTGTACTACAAGGGGCCAGTCCTCCAAAAGATAATTCTAGGTTTTATTTATCCCCCCGCCCCCATTTTGTAGCTACAGGTGGATTGGAAATGATGTATTCATGATACAAAACCCAATGTGTGTATATGAGGGGCCAGTTTTTTGTATACAAAGATTCTACAGGGTCAACCTCAGGACTTTAGTGTGTGCGGATTTTGGTATACAAGGGGGTCTGGGAACCAAACCACTGTAGATACCAGGGGATTACTAGTTTCATTTCTCAGGGCAAGGTAGGGAGCGTGAACATTTAACAAACTTTTAATGTTTGTTTTTGGTCTAATGTGATGTATTAGCATTCATAAGAGCCAAGTCACAAAATGTGTCACTATTTACTGCACCAACTGCTTTTTGAAACTGCCTAGTGACTGAGTGGAGGTTTTATTCAAGAGATCCCCAAACAGAAACCTAGTACCTGCAAGATGGTTTTTACTTCCCATTAAATGTCTCAAGAGTGGTTAGCTTATTCTAAGTGGGGAAGCAGTTTCTAGAACCAAGTAGGAAGTTCCACAGTAGATGTGAACTCTCTGAAATGCAAACACCCAGCAATTTTTTCTCCAAAGGGACTTCGCAGAGTGAAGCAAACTCCAAAGGCTAGAGCAGGGAACCAGGATGGGAAGAGATGTCTCAGGTGGTGAGAGCTCTCTGCAGAACAAGAACTCCTCAGTCAAGATAAACTAGCGCCCAGGCTATAAAGCAGATCAAAGAAGTTTTGGTGGTGCTCATACCCCAAGTCCCGCTAAGACAAACCTTTATCCTGTCTTCAAATCATTTGAAGTCAGAGCTAGCTCAACTGCATATTAGAATGATTTAGCAATCAGACAAAAAGATGTGCTATTTTCTAGGGGTATTATTTCAACCTCTACTGTTCTTTATACATAATGTTCAGCATATATTGAATTATAAGACACTTAAAGAAGTGAAAAATTTTGATACATACTGAAGCCTACTGAAGCAACTCCAGGCAATCTAGATGTTAGGAATAGCAGACAAGGACTTTAAACTATGATAAAGATGTTAAATGATCTAGTAAAGAAAAAAAAAAAACAAAACAGACAATATAGATGAAAGGATGGGAAATATACCAGAAAGAAAACCAAAAAGAAAAAAAATGAATTTTTAGAATCAAAAGATACAAGATTAGACATAAACATACTAGAGTAAAAGACATTTTAAAAGTAGTTAGCTCAAAACAGATTTTCAGCAAAGGTCTAACAACTAATAAGCCAATTTTGTTTTTGTTCTTTTTTAAAGATGTTTGTTTTGTGTTGTTGATTTTGTAGGCTTATGAAGAGTATGGGCAGAGCAGAAGAAGGAAGCCAAGAACTTGGAAAAAAAATCAGTTCAGTAGAAATTATCCAAACTAAAGAAACTCCAAAGCTAAATAGAGCTTTTGGGACATTTGGAACAATATGTACATTGTCCAACATTTGTATAACTAGAACCCTAAAGAGAAGAAAAGAGAATGGGGCAAATAAGATATCTGAAGAGTGAATGACCCCAAACTTTCCAAAATGATAAAATGTAACAACCCACACAGATTGTAATCATCCTCTATGAAGAATAAACACAAAACAAACCATACCCATGCACATCATGGACTGATAAAAAATGAAAATAAAGTGAAAATCTTAAGCACAACCAGAGGGAAAAAAAAAACCTCCACATTATATTCAGGCAAATAATACTAAGATAAAGACTGGCTTCTCATCAGAAACAACAGAAGCCAGAAGTCCTAGCCAAATGAATCAGGTAAGAAAAAGAAATAAAGGATATCCAAATTGATAAAGAAGAAACAACAGGAGCCAGAACACAAAGACATCCTAAAAATGCAGAAACAAAACAAAACAAAACTCTTGACATAGAGCTCTATATCCAGCAAAAGATTCTTCAAAAATCAAGACATTTTCAGAAAGTCAAGGTGAGTGAATCTGTCACCATCAGTTTAAATATACAAAATGATAAAATAAGCTATTTAGGCTGAAAAGATATCAGAGAGAATCACAGACCTGCAGAAAGGAATAAAGTGCACCCAAAAGATGGATATGTACATAAGCATGAAGATTATTTTATTTATACACACATACACAAATACATACTTAAGTTTTTTTAAAAGATCAATCTCTGTTTAAAGCAAAAATAATAAGTATTTAGGGTTAAAATATATGAAAACTGAAATATAAAAGAAAGACTACAAAGGGTAGGAAGGGTGTAAGGAGAATTATACTCCTGAAAGTTTATTACATTCTTCATGGATAATTAGAGCATAAGAATAAATAAAGTATAATATTATTTGAAGATACCATGGTAAACTTAATGATGCATATTGTAATCCACAGGCAAATCAATGAATTGATACCGAAAAAGCAAAGCTTAAAATTCAATAAATAGGATACAGCGTAATATTCAGAGCATTCAAATACTCAACCCAAAAGAAGTACAAATAAATCTTATTAGGACAAAGAGAAATTCATACATAAACATACTAGAATAAAAGACATCTTAAAAGCAGCTAGTTCAGACAGATTTGCTTCAAACGTCTGACAGACTGATAGGCAAATTTCCTTTTTTTTTTTTTTGAGTTGGAATCTCACTCGGTCGCCCAGACTGGAGTGCAGTGGCCGCTCCCGGTGGCCTCGCCTGCTGGGCTCCAGCGATCCTCCCGCCTCAGCCTTCCGAGTAGCCGGAATTACAAGCACGCGCTACCACGCCCGGCTGATTTTTTGATTTATTGTAGAGATGAGGTCTTGCTGCCCAGGCGGGTCTCGAACCCACGGGCCCAGGCAATCCACTCACCTCAGCCTCCCAAAGGCGTGGGATTACAGGCTGAGCCACCGAGCCTGGCTTTTTTTTTTTTTTTTAATGTTTGTTTTGTGGTGTTGTCTTTTCTTTCTTTATCTATTTTGACAGGGGAATTTTCAATACCATCAGTGGTAGAAGCCAGTGAATGCTTTTCTATCTTTTAGAAAATAAGAACTGTCAACCAAGAATTCTTTACACAATGGAAAAGTTCTTAATGAATATTTTAGATAAACAAAACTGAGAGGTTTCCACCATCAGACCCTCACTAAAATAAAATTAAAACAATAACCATAAAGGATATTATAGAACAGAAGAACTTTATACCAATAGAAGTTGAGAGATGCAAGAAGGAATAAAAAACAGATCTAATCTACCCAAATGGCTATGAACAAATAAAACATTCTAGGATGTACATCAAATAAACTTTTCCAGGAGTTGATAGTATCTCAAAATTACTTCAAAAAACAAAAAGGCAAACTGTCATTTCTACCACCCCAGACTGACCATTCAGTAGTTAGAGTACAAGGCCAGGAAGACATCATGTGCTACCCCCAGTGAATTTTGGATAAGCAGAATTTTACATAAAAGACATAAATACATTTAAGATTGTTGGAAGCAAAATTGTAGAACAGGTTAAATGTTTTGGACCCCGTCCTATTTTTTCTCCTTCCTTCTGAAGTCTCTTTCTCTCTACCAAGATGTCCAAAGGCTGTGACTTTGAAGTAATAACAGATGATGTCCACATTGAAAATGTATATGGTAAAAATAACACTTCAAAAGGTGGTTGTGAGGATTATGTAAGACATGCTAAATGCTTATCAAAGGGTTGAGAATTTAATTAATTGCCAAATATGCTGTTTTCTTTATTTAAAAATTGAATTTAAAAAAGCAAGGAAATGGTTAGCACAGAATTCAGTACTTGTTTTCTCCGGGTAATGGTGGGGATGAGAATGAAGAGGGGCATACAGGCAGGGACTTCAAAGGTACTGGTGATTTTCATTTCTTCAGCCAGATAGGAGACACACTGGTATTTACTTGACCCTAAATCATACATATACATTATGTACATCCTCTTGATTTTATAAAAGATGATTTTTACATTTTTTTTTGAGTCAGAGTCAGCCTTCCAAGTACCTGGAACTACAGGCATGAGCTGATTTTTACATTTTTAAATGAACAAATAAAACCAAAATTCAGTTTTCTACAGTCTTACTAGGCCCTACATATTCTAGCCTCCTCTACCTCTTTGATGTTAACCTCTTGCTATTCTTTCCCTAAGTTACTTCTTTCTAGCTTCAATGTCCCACGTACTGTTTCTGAAACAGGGTGTTTTATTTGCTATTCTTCCTACCTAGAATATTCTTTCCACAGATTTCTACTTGGCTCCTTCTCTCACTTAACTCAGGACTTCTCTCAAATATTACCTTTCAGAATAGCATTCCCTAATAAATCGATAGGCTGTTCCTTACTTCTCTGTATCACTCTGTCTTCATAAACTGCTGGAGTTTGCCTCTGAGCACATACCTCAGAAATATTACTCAAATTTGGCACATTATAAAATGCGAGTATATCTTAAATACTTTTCTTAGTATCAATGTCATTGTCTTTATTCATGCCAAACAGGCAGCAATCTATTTACCATTGATTTCACATCATTAGTGCAAATATCAAAAATGTAAAAGGGAATCCATATCTTAGTACTATGAGTTTGGACCTCACAGACCCCTTGAGAAGGTCTTGGGACTCCCAGGGATCTGTAGACCACACTTTGAGAACTGGCATTTTATTCAAATAGTATTTTCCCTGAAAGTAATTTTTAACTATTTCCACTTTTCTAATTTAGTATATGGGCTTTTAATTTGTATATGAGCTCTTGTTCATAAAACTCAGAGAGAGAGAAAGAGAGAGAGAGAGAAGGCTAAATAACTCACCTGGAACTTGTTCATTTTCTGCTGCTCTTGGAAAAGGGTAGAAACTATAAAGTCAGAGCAGGGAAAGTTGCAAGATGGAAGTCATCAGAGACCTTATCTTGCAGCTCCAGAAATTACCTGTGAAAAATTTCCATACAACATTTTAGTAAAAATATATGCCTCGGAAAATGCCCACTAGAAGGAATTGGAAAGACCATAATGAAGCACTACTTACCTGTCCATTGGTGACTCTGATATAAATCTTGATGAACCTGGGGCATTTTTGAGTGAATCTAATCATTTCTTTCCTAATGGCTATTTGAAAATTTTGTGTCCGTTCTCTGAATAATACAAAAGAAGTGAAAACTTAAATATACAATAACAGCAGGTTAAACAGGTGTATAATATATCCAAAGGATGGACCCTAACACTAGAAATGATACTGAAGAGATACATTTATTGATACATAAAAGGTATTTAAGTTACATGTCATAAATAATTTTCCTATTTATATTATAAGTCTAAGTTTAGAAATTCTTTTCAAAGTTCTCAAAAATATGATGTTTCTTCTCCTTAAGTTGTAGTTTCTCAAAAGCCACTCTCTAAGAACCTTCTTTTTGACCTAAATATGATATAGTGAACTTGAAGACTTTGGTTCTACCCCAGGCTATGCTATTCACAAACCTAGTGACTGTCTAAGTTCCAATAATATTATCTTTAAAATGAGGAGGAATTGGATAATGTGGAACAACACTTCATGTGATTCTATATTCTACAAGTGATTATTATAGGATAGAATCTATTCATGTGATTCTGATTCTGTACGTCTTTATTCAGGACCACAAATCTAAGTAGTACCTGAAATTTATTCTCCTCTTGAAACTTGGGTTAGGCCTAGGGTAAAATTTAATTAGGCCTCGTTAAACTCTTACATAGCCATCTTATTAGCTGTAAATGACACAATTATAGCTTAAAGTAACAGTTTGGCAGTATACTTCCCAAACAAGTACTTCATACATGTAGCAAAAGGCAACTAGATGTCATAATCCTGAGGTCTTTTTCATAAGCAGCAGAAACCATAAAAGGCATGTTATATTCAGAATAACCTAGATTCCACCAAACAAACAAACAAACAAAACTGTTAGAACTAATAAACAAATTCAGTAAAGTTTCAGGGTACAAAATCAACATACAGAAATCAGTAGCAGGCTGGGCGCAGTGGCTCAGGCCTGTAACTCCAGCACTTTGGGAGATCAAGGAGAGAGGACTGCTTGAGCCCACAGGTTCGAGAACAGCCTGGGTAACCTGGTGAGACCTAGTCTCTACAATAATTCAAAAAATTAGCTGGGTGTGGTGGTACATGCTTGTAGTTCCAGCTACTAGGAAGGCTGAGGTGGAAGGATCGCCTGAGCCCAGCAGGTTGAGGCTGCAGTGGCTGTGAGCATGCCACTGCACTCCAGCCTGGGCAGCAGGGTGAGATGCTGACTCAAAAAAAAAAAAAAAAAAATCAGTAGCATTTTCATATACCAACAGTTAACAATCTGAAAAAGAAATCAAGAAGGCAATCTCACTTACAATAGATACAGAAAAAAAAAGAATACATAGGAATAAATTTAACCAAAAATAAAACCGATGAAAGAACTGAAGTGGACCCTCCCCCAAAATGGAAAGCTATCTCATGCTCATGAAATGGAAGAATTAGTATTGTTAAAATGTCCATACTGCTAAAAGCAATCTGGAGATTCAATACAATCCCAATGACATTTTTCACTATAATAGAAAAAAAATCCTAAAATTCATATGGAATCGCAAAAGATCCCAAATAGTCAAAGCAATCCTGATCAAAAAGAGTAAAGCTGGAGGCATCACACTGTGTGGTTTCAAAATACACTACAAGGCTGTAGTAACAAAAAACAGCCTGGTTCTGGCATAAAATAAACATATGGACCAATGGAACAGAACAGAGAACCCAGAAATAAATCCACACATTTGCAGACAGTTCATTTTGTCAAAGGCACCAAGAACATATACTGGGGAAAGAAAAGTCTTCAATAAATGGTCTGAGAAAACTGAGCCAGGCTCGGTGGCTCAGCTTGTAATCCTGCGCCTTTGGGAGGCTGAGGTGAGTGGATTGCCTGAGCCCGCGGGTTTGAGACCCACCTGGGCAGCGAGACCTCATCTCTACAATAAAATCAAAAAATTAGCTGGGTGTGGTAGCGCGCACCTGTAATTCTGGCTACTCGGAAGGCTGAGGCAGAAGGATTGCTCGCGCCTGGCAGGTCGAGGCTGTGGTGGCCAGGAGCGGCCACTGCACTCCAGTCTGGGTGACAGAGTGAGACTCCAAGTCAAAAAAAAAAAACTGGATATCCACATGCAGAAGGATGAAACTAGACTCCTATCTATCACTGTATGCAAAAATCAACTCAAAATGGAGTAAAGACTTATATGCAAGACCTGAAACTATGAAACTACTAAAATAAAACATTAGGGAAATACTTCAGGACATTGGTCTGGACAAAAATTTTTTTGTTGTCTCAAATGTGCAGGCAGCAAAAGCAAAAATAGACAAATGGGCAAACTAAATGGAAACAACAAAGGAAACAATCAACAGGGTGAAAAAATAGAAAAGGAGAAAATATGTGCAAACCACTCATCTGACAAGGGATTTATACCAGAAAATATAAAGATCTCAAACAACTCAATAGCAAAAAAATAAATACTCTGATTTTAAAATGGGCACATGATCAGAATAGACATTTCACAATTGAAGGCATACAAATGACCAACAGGCATCAGATAAATCCAAATCAAAACCACAACGAGATATCGTCTCACCCAGTTCAAATGCCTATTATCAAAAAGACAAAAAAACAAATGACAGTAAAGATGAAGAGAGAGGGTGAACACTCAAACATCATTGGTGGAAATGTAAATTACTACAGCCACTACAGAAAACAAGAGGGAGATTCCTCAAAAAAACCTAAAACTAGAACTACCATATGATCCAGCAATTTTACTGCTAGGTATATATATCCAAAAGGAAGAAAATCAGTATATCAAAGAGATCTACACCCCCATGTTTACTGGAACATTGGAACATTGGAACAGCTGAGATGTAGAAGAACCCTAAGTATCCATCAATGGATTGGTAGTAAAGAAAATGTGGTATATTATTATATACACAGTGGAATATTATAATATACACAGTGGAATATTATTCAACTATAAAAAAAGAATGAGATTCTGATATTTGCAGCAACATGGAACTGGAGGACATTATGCTAAATGAAATAAACTAGACAGAAAAATAAATTTTTACTCATGTTGGAGCTAAAAAAGTTGACCTCATGAAGGTAGAGAGTAGAATGATGGTTACAAGAGACTGGGGGGGGGATAAAGAGAGGCTACAAAATGAATACAAAAATACAGATAGAAGGAATAAGTTACAATGTTCAATAACACAGTAGGGTGACAATAGCTAACAATAATTTATTGTATATTTCAAAATAGCTAGATGATTTGGAATGTTTCCAACACAAAGAAATGACAAATGTTTCAGGTGATGAATACTGACTACCCTGATTCGATCATTACACATTGTATGCATGTGCTGTATCAAAATATCACATGTACCCTATAAATTTGTATCAATTAAAAAAGACTACCAAAAAAGCCCTAAAATAAATAAGCAGCAGAAACCACTTCTAGCTAACCCCGTGCTTGCAAAATGCTTAATAAGCCCAGATATCATTAGCCAATCAGAGGCATTCTGATATTTTACCATCATAATATGGAGCATGAAAGAATTGCAGTTTTCATCTTTAACAACAAAAAAATTCTGCACCACTTCCCCTCTTTAGAAACTAACCTCTGGCCTTGAAGATGCCCAGCTTCCCTTGTAAAATTTAAAACTGAGGCCTTAAATTGTGGTTTCAATCTACATGTTTAGAACAGTCCTCTGAGAAGAGAGCGAGTTGGAGGGTGCAGAAAGAACTCTAAATAATAAAACTTTTGACCCAAGGGTGGTGAGGACTCCCCAGATATTTTTGGAAATAGAACACCATGTTTAGACTGGGTTCAGTACATCCCACAGCTATGTTCTGGTAGTGCTCAGGGATAACTGCTGTGCTAAATACAAGCTAAGCTTGTAGATTTTAGTGTGGGAAAGAGCATGAATTACAGAGTAAAACAAACTTAAAATTTAAATCCCACCTGCTCATAGTGGGCAAACCTATTTCTCTCTGACCCTTTAGTATTCTTATTTATTAAAATGGAAGTGGTTAAATCAAAAGGACGATTATGATGATTAAGTGAGGCAAATAATGAAAACGGCATGCCTTTCAATAGTAAAAGCAGCTCACCTTTATTGAATCTTTTGTCACACGTTACCCCTACGCCTAGTCAGTACAGCCAAACCCTAAAGGTTATCATCGTCTTACAGCTGAGGCTCTGAGCCGCACTGAGAGTATCTGCGGACGCTGGACCGGAGCCAGAGCCTCGCTCTCAAGCGCTGCGTCTGAAGCGGCCAGCGCCGGGTCGGGGCCCCATGTCACACAGGGCCGCTACCCAGGGCGTCCTACTTTCCGGGCGCCTCAGGCCGCCGCTCAAGCAGGTCGCGAAAATGCAGCTTCTGGGGAGACTCGTGAGGCCAAAAGGCCGGCCTCCCCGCCAGGCCCGCTCCCCACCGGGGTCCCTCCACCGAGGCCGCCCCAGCGTTGTGCGGCGACCCCCAGGTTTTCTGATTCGGCGCAGTCGCCGAGACCCCGCTGCCCCCTTCTGGTCCGCCTGCAGAGGCGACACACCTGCAGTGGCCCGGCCTCTGCTCCCGGCCCGCACCGAGCCTAGGCCCCGCCCTCTGCGGCACAGCCGAGGTCTGGAGACTCCGGAGTCCTCTGCCCCTGGGGCGTGGGACAAAACGGCGACGCCCGAAAAACAATTGCACGGCGCATGCGCAGATCGTTTCCCGGGCTCGACTCCGGATCTACGCTTCCCAGAAGCCCTGGCTGCGAGTCCATGTTGGATGACGTCGTAAAGTGCGGCGCCTTCCAGCGGCTGACGTGACTGCTGCTGGGATTAAGTGGGCGCACCGGATGCCTGGTTAGAAGTGGCACGCCGCAGCCTGGGGCTGAAGACAGGAAGCTACCGCAGGTGGTGCTAGGAGTATTGATGGGTCGTTTAATTAAAAAACTTGAACTAAGTATGTACAGTCGTACATTCAAAGAATAATGCCCTGTGACCACTGACTTTATCTCAGGAGTGCTAGCTTTCAAAATTGTGCAAATAATAAACTAGAAAATATTAACAAGCAGAAACAGAAGACGAGTGCAACACGTATCACTTCCCAAAAGAAAATAATGCTTATGTTAGGTGTACATTCTTCTCATGTACTAAAAGTCTGTACAAATTTTTAGTCCTAATGGTACTCACTAAGGGATACATACAGTCGCCCCACCTTATGGGGGTGGGTCCACCTTTGCAGTTTCAACCAACCTCGATTTGAAAAACTAAAAAATGAGTTGAGGGTTATATGCAAATACCAGGCTATTTTATATCAAAGACTTGAGCATCCTTGGGTTTTGTTATTGGGAGAGGGCCTGGAATGAATTCCCCACTGATACCTAGACACAACTTTATTGAATATATTAAAAAAAGTTATGTATTTACTGGTTAATACCTTTATGACATTAAAACATGTAGAATCCATAGAGAGAGAGTGTGTGTGTGCACTCGCACGTGTGTGCGCACACACCACTTTTCTCAATGAAAGGTGCTGGGGAAATAATACAAAATAAAGCCTCTTACAAACCCAGAAAATGCTTTCCAAAGATAAAGAAAAAAAGTGTTTTACTACTGAATAAACATTAAACCACACTCTGATGCTCATCCCAGGCAACCCACTAGTGAGTTTGCAAAGGGAAAGAAGTATCTATCACGTTTTATATAGCCAGGCATCTATAACCCATTACGTGTTCTTAAGATGTCTAGCTGTCCCATAGGGAAGTGGTCACCAGGAAATGGTTGCATAAGGCAGATGTTTGAATTGGTCACATTGAGAAATCGGGAGGAGGTGGAGAACTGGAAACCATGTCAAGAGTGACTAACCCCTGCTTCTGGTATGAGAAAGTTCAACATATTCAAAGTAGATTCTGAGGCAACATAAAATTATAAGAATTTGCTACAGTGAAACATTGAGTAAATGATAATGATAAAGTAAGGTTATATAGTGATCTTACATGTGACAAACTTAAATAGTGCATGAATTCAGTATTTAAGATTTAAACCATCAGTGTCTCTCTCTCCCTCCCTCTCCCCTCCCCTCCCCCTCTCCCTCTCCCTCTCCCCCTCACCATCCCTCTCCCTGGCCATGGCCAATGGGTGCAGAGTTGCCGCGGGCAGTCTGGTGGCTACTCTGCAGTCAGTGGGCACAGCCAGACTCTCCACATCATCCAACATTCTGCTGGGTTTCGTGGGTTCCATCTTCTGGGCCCGGTTGGGGGGCTCAAAAAAGACACCTTCTCCTCTTCCAGCTGAACCCAAGGCTGAAGGGGGTCGGTCGAAAGAAAATGTACCCCAAGCTGAACCTCCAAAACTCCCACTCGGGTCAGAGAAACACAAGGAATAAAGACCATGTGCAGACGGCAAAAAAAAAAAAAAAAAAAAAAAAAAAGATTTAAGCCATCAATTGCTTAAAACAGAACACGTAATTTGAGATGGCATGAAACAAAAAGCAGAAACCACAAAGGATGTAAACATTTTGCTATGAAATAGTTTAAAGTCCAATTTCAAAGGAATACAAAGTTAAAACACAAACTAAGGAGACCAGTATTCACACACTATTCACACTCTTGATAAACTGCTCTTACAAATCAAAGGAGAAATATTTGACATGCAATAAAAATAGAAAAAGAATAAGCTATCCTGGCTGGGCAGGTTAGCTCATGCCTGTAATCCCAACACTTTGGGAGGCTGAAGCAGGATTGTTTGAGCCCAAGAGTTAGTGGGATCTATAGTGGGACCTTGTCTCTACAAAAAATATTAAAAAATTACCATGGTGGCACCAGTTTATAGTCCCAGCTACTTGGGAGGCTGAGGCAGGAGGATCATTTGAGCCTAAGAGTTCGAGGCTTTGGTGAGCCATGATCATGCCACTGCATTCCAGCCTAGGTGTAAGAGTGAGACACTGACCCAGAAACAAACAACAAAAAAAGAATGAATGAATAACCTATCCTGCTTATCATCCAATCAAGACAAAGATGCCATGGTTTTGTAGAATAAAATAATACTGTTTTCAACAACAACAACAACAAAAGATGCCATGAATTGCCAGATATCCCATTATTTTTACAACTACAAAAAAAAAAATGGTCAAACTATGCCATGCTATTGACTTTAAGATAAATTACAAGATGCAATTTCAGAGGTGTTAAAATATGAAAATAATGTATTTCTTAGGAATATCAAAATATTATATAAATGTAAATATTTATATAATATAAAAAGTGCAATTGACCTATAAGTATATGAAAATATGCACTATCACTAAAAATCAAAGAAATATTAAAACAAACATGAAACTCTACTTTGCTGATTTCAAATATTATTCCACTTAAATCCCATTTAGCTGAAACACCAAATGGGATTTTTTCCAAATTAATTTTCATCATGTCATTTGACCTGGTGGTTTCTATTTGAGTGGTCCTAGGAAATGATGGCAGAATACATTTGTAGAATGATGCTATTCATGTAACTATTTTATTGTCAGGGATTTTTGGTGCCTGTTCAGAGCATTTCAGTCTGACTTCATTTTTCCAGCTTCTAGATCCTCCTGAACTGTATTCTGCCTGTCCAGTGGGACTGTTCAGATTTACTGAAAGACCAGCCTTAGTTTCTAGAGTTGGTAAGTTCCAAGAGGAGTGACAATTTGGGGTCATTAGCGAAGGCTTCACACAAAATGAATTTTTACTTTAGGTTCCTCCACAGCAGAGAAATAAGGCTGTCCTTTTGAAATAAAGAGGAAAACCACCTAGAAGAACATCACCCTGACCTGAGACCTTTCACCAGTGATTCAGGGAAGAAGTTGCAGAAAGAAAGTGATCCTAGAGTTGTTATATCTGAATCAATTATTTATTTTATTTTTTAAAAAATTGTATTGAATTATAAAAAATATACAAAAGTGTGCATGGCATAAATGTATCATTGTATGGCTGGTAAACGAACTACAAAAAGAGGTAAATACAACCATGTAAACACTAGGCATTCAAACAAAATATTACCAGTGCCTGCAGTCTCTCTGCAGGACCAATTCTCTGTTGTACTCCACTTCTCAAAAGTAGCCCTATACTGACTTCTAACACTAGTTTTGCAATTTATTACTGTAATTTTGTTACCCACTTATTTTGAAATAATCTTTAACTTACAAAATACATTGTAAAAAGAGGATACAAAGAGCTCTCATATATCCTTCAATGATATTCTTCAATTAATATTTTACCACATTTGCTTCATAATTTTTGCTATGTGTATACTGTGTATTTATTTGTCTTAATCATTGAGAGTTAGTTGTAGGAGTCATGTCCCTTTACTCCTAAATTTATAACCATATATTTCCTATGAGCAAGGATAAAATTCTTAGATAACCATGGTACAATATTTAAATTCAGAAAAATTTAACAGAGATATAGCTGATGGTCCATGTCAAATTTCACTAATTGTCTCATTTAAGATGTTAATCTATAGCTTTTTTTTTTCTGATTCAAGTTTCAAACCAGAGACGTCTGTCTCTGGCCAAGGTGGAGTAACAGGGACTGGATTTGCCTTCTTCCTGAAACAACCAAAATAACCAGCTAAAATGTGTGAAATAATGGTTTCAAAACATTGGATATCAGTCAATGAAGCACAATGATCTCTAAGAGACATGAAACAAAATTAGCTCTACATTTGCCACAGCTCACTGACTTGAAAGAGCTTCCGGGCTGTAGCAGTGGGTGGGGAAACACAGGCTGATCCTAGTGGACTCTTTGAATTGAGAAGATACAGATGAGAGTCAAGAGAGACAAAGGCAGCTAAAGTTTGCAAGACAAACTATCAAAGAGGAGAGAGCTGTGCAGAAAGAAAACTCTGGAGATCTTCAGAAGGTCCCCCTGGAGAATTCAGCACAGTATTAACTGAAACATGTGTGAGGAAACTACCTGCAGCTGGGGAAAAAACCAACCAAGATGATTAAAGGGAAGAGAGCCCTGTAATACTGGGAATAGGACTTGTTGTCTCCAGCCAGAGTGGAAAAACTCATGCTTCATGAGCATTAAGTAGAGTATTCAGAACAGCCTTGCTTCAGTAATGGGGAATCATTAGTACTAGAATAAACACTAAAAATCTTTTTTTCTGGTCAGGATCTTGTTCTATAGCTTAGGCTGGAGTGTGGTGATAAGATGATGGCTCACTGCAGCCTTGACCTCCTGGGCTCAAGCTTCAAACTCCTGAGTAGGTGGGACTACAGGCACTTTCTACCATACCAGGCTAATTTTTTGATTTTTTTGTAGCAACAGGGTCTTGCTAAATTGCCTAGGCTGTTCTAAAACTCCTGACCTCAAGCAATCCTCCCACCTTGGCCTCCCCTAATGCTGGGATAGCAGGCATGAGCCACGGTGCCTGACCAAACACTACGGATCTTAAAAGCAGGACTCAGCATTATCAATTAACTGCACCCCAAAACAAATCTCAAAAATGATTATAGAGGTGGGCGTGGTGACTCACACCCACCTCTATAATCATTTTTGAGATTTGTTTTGGGGTGAGAAGATTGCCTGAGCCCAGGGGTTTGAGACTAACCTGGGCAAGTCGGTAAGACTTTGTCTCTATGATAAATCAAAAAGTTAGCTGGGAGTGGTGGTGCATACCTGTAGTTCCAGCTACTTGGAAGATTGAG